AATTAATTTCTTTTGGAATTGACTTGGAGCCGATTGTGAGGGTCTTTACGTGCACATGTTTACTCCCGCCCGTAATATCAGCTGAGTATTAAGCATGGGTTAGCATCCAGATCTCTTAAGGTTTTTTATCTGATAAACTCGCATAATGAAACATACTGCTTTAAGTGCTCCGTAACTACCATGCCACTCTTAGCGTCCAACTCACTCAAATAGGCTTAAGAACGAGTTCTGTGCTCTCGTTACTGTAAGCAACAATTATATGACTTTTGTTTAGTCAACCAATTCATCTTTTTTTTAATTTAAGACAAGTTACCTTATTTTGTTTTAAGCACATACCATGTTTTACGGGAGATCCCGATGAAAAGGACGATTATTTCAATCTACCGAAGGAGAACCGCTTAAAGTTGCTACATCTTTACCACGACGCCGGCGTCCGCTTCGTCTTTTCGGGTCATCTGCACTACAATGGTGGGGGTCCTTGGACTCCCAGTGATGGCGCCCCGCCGCTACAGGTTGTTTCATCATCTGCCGTAGGCGTCCAACTGGGTCACGACAGTCCCGGACTAAGAGTTGTCCATGTGTCTCCGAAGCACGGACTTGCACACAAATACTTCACTTTTGATGAATTAGAGAGCGGTGGTCCAAATAGTTATTCCATCCCACACTTAATCTAACTCAGCAATCTACCTTCCATGATTTCTACTTTCCCTGATTTTGATATTTTTAGTCTCAATACATTTCTGCACTGTGTGTTGTTTTTCTTGCTCATTTTATTCGTTGGGTCGGGATCCTGCGTTTTTCATCTTATCAAATGCTCCCTCTTTTTCCTAGGTAATCATGAGTTTTACAGCCTTTCGATGGTTCTCATCCTTTACGAATGTCTATCCAGCTCGTTTATCTTCAGCGAGTTGCAGAATCTTTGCGTTAGGCGCTTCGTCATGCTTTGCGAGCAGGCCTGCTGTCTATCGGCCCTTCTCAACCAATACAACTGGCAAGGGTCTCGAGTTTGCTATTCCCTTAACTACTGGCAAACATGTGAAGACAAGACCCATCCGTCCTTTGGCCCCTGTACGTTTGAAGTCTGTATTTAGCAGTCCTTGTAAAGCTCTGTAGAGTAGAGGCATCGTATCAGCCCGGAGACAGGTACTGAAAGGACCGTAGTCTTTGAACTACTGACTGCTAAAGGTAGTCCACTTATCTACACGGGACCATCGTTAATAAACTATGGATCGTGTGAAATTCTGCTTGATTGTTAAGTGCTGCAGTGCTCCTTGATTCATAGAGGTTCCTAAAATTTTCCGCCAGGCTGGCTTTGGTTGTTCTAGGGTGACATATTTCGTTGGATGTTGTGATCGATCAATTTTAGTTTTCTACTGTCTAACAGACGTTTTGAATTCAGGGCAGGGGTTCAACTTCTGCTTGTTCGCTCTTGAGGGCTGCCCGTTCATATGCCGCTTAGACACTGCAATTAGGTAAAGATCCGTAACTGTACGGCGTTTTATCATCCCTGCTGAAATCGTACACAGCAGTCTATATTCCCCTCACTAATTCTACACCAAGTGAAGTTTGTCCAGTTGGGCACATTTTCTATCCGCAACGAGCTTCCCCTGGTTGTTTTGCACGTAAGGAATGTCCCTCTAGCCTTTGGGGAAATTAGGGCTGATTGATAAAGGCAGGCTGAGACTGTGACGGCAGCCAACCACGCTCCCTGACCACTTGTGCATTGTGTGTACGCGCACATTTGCGTTTCCGCTTGGACATTTTGAATCAGAAAAGCGTAAGCAAAAGCATGCTTCTGTCGCAACCTCACCCTGTTGTTTTATAATGTGTTTCTTGACCCGACTAGTGGTCGTAAGTCTGCGTGTGCCCCCACGCCTGTGTTGAAAATACAATGTTTCCAATCTAAGGTAGTGAGTGACATGTATCCTGTATTTACCACTGTCTGCCGATTTATTTCATCATGCTCAGACATATCCATTGGGCAACTGTAGTTTAGGTAGTGCACCACACATACTTCTAATCCCAGCATTTTCTCATACAGAAACGGTGGTTATAGAGATTTTATCAGTGGAGAATTAGGATAGGCAGTGGAATGTACTTTATTAACTGCTATATGCATTTTCATTTTATTGCTTTTAGAGATTTTCTTGATTTATGGCTTTAGATTCTCCTAATCTTTATTATCGTTCAACGTATTGCGGAAAAACCCGGTTATCAAAATGCAGGTTTCTTGAAATTCCTGAATAAAATATAAATGGTGATTAGGAGGTCATTTACTTCAATTTACCTGAGGTCCAACTTACCGTTCTGGAGTTATTTAGTATAGTCCGCTGCTCGAAGCGCCGCGCACATGCGGAACAACCTACTTCTAGCGGCCGCGGGAAACATTCAACTACATTTTTCCACTTCACTTTTCTGCAAATTTCCTCCACTGCCTATCCTATTTCCCCACCCCCAAAACCCCTATAAC